GTGCTTACGTGCACATCGACAAAGCTAAACGAAAGAAGTTCGACGATAAAAGTTAAGAGATGGTACTCGTAGGGTACGTGCCTGGTCAGAAAGCATATCGACTGTGGGAACTAAGCGGTATTAAGCGTGTAGTCGTGTCAAGAGATGTAATTGTCGTCGAGTCAACACCGAAGCAAATCATTGGTCTACCAGAACCAATTGGAATCGAAGATATGAAGTTAGAAGATAGCAAGACTGAGGCAGAAAACAACGAAGAACGCGAAACCTCACATACCAAAGGACAGCATGTAGACAAAAATAGTCGCGAGTCAGTGGGAGCTCGCGAAAGTGTACAATCGCATAAATCAACAAATGATCCGATTGCTAATCGAACAAGAAGTAAAACAATGTCTGCAATGATCGCAATATCTGAGGCCTTATTCGTCGAGGGAACGCCTACAACTATTGAAGAGGCAAAGCAATCGTCTGATGCCGAACAGTGGGAGGCGGCAATGCAGGAAGAAATCACATCACTCGAAAAGAACAATACGTGGGAATTGGTTGAACTTCCGGAACATCGAAAAGCCATTCGTAATAAATGGGTTTTTCGCATGAAAATAAAGCCTGATGGTATGATCGACAAATATAAAGCTCGATTCGTCATCAAGGGATGCTCGCAGAAAGCAGGGATAGATTATACGGAAACTTTTGCTCCGGTCGCACGATTTGAATCCATTCGAATATTATTGTCTATCGCAGCAGTGAAGAATCTAGTAATACAATTTGATATCAAAACTGCTTTCCTGCATGGAGATTTAGACGAAACAATTTTCATGGTTCAACCCGAGGGCTTCGATGATGGGACGGTCACGTGTGTCGCTTGCGTAAAAGTCTCTACGGATTGAAACAGGCGCCGCGACAATGGCATCGAAAATTGGACGACACATTGAAGATGTTCGGAATGAAATCGACAAATTATGATCCATGTGTTTACTCGAATTCGGATGGCTCATTGTTACTTGCACTATATGTGGATAACGGGTTAGTGGCCGGACAGTCTGAAAGCAAAATAAACAATCTGCTTTCGAAATTAAAGGAAAATTTTGAAACCACTGACTCAAAAGCCGAGTGCTATCTTGGAATTGAGATTGAGCATGATCCTATAGCGAAAAAGATTCGAATTCATCAGTCAGCTTATACACGCAATATTTTACGAAAATTTGAAATGGACGAGTCAAAAGCAATGGCAACCCCATCAGATGCGAACATTGTGTTACACCGAAACGAAGACGAGGACGGAAAAACTTTGGAAGCAGCAGATGTTCCTTATCGACAAATCATTGGATCACTGATGTATCTTGCTGTTGGCACACGTCCTG